TATTACTTGCATATATAGTTTACTTATCATAAAGGAAAACAGGTTTCTGTCAAAATAGCTGTATTATTTATCAGTATCCTGTGACATGGTGCCAGAGTTCAGGTCTGGGAACACTATTTATAGACAAATTAACCTGTGCCACCAGAATTAGCAACCAACGCTGAGTAATAATGCTTTACACACTGTAATTGCTAAGTCAAATCCTCAAAGACAAAACCTTAAACCCTTTTTTCTGAAGCTTCCCATCAGTTTAGTTCCATATCCTGAGCCTCTGACTCATATTTTTTTTCAAGAACATGAAAAAACTACTAGTACTGCTATTCTACCATTAACCAAATCCAAAATTTGCTGGTTCTAGAAAAGCCTGTAGTTACATTTACGCTGCATTCTTTACAAATTGCATCAAGTAAAATTCTTTCTCGTTGGCAGGAAGATGGTAAATTTAACAAGGTTAGGCAAGGTCTTCACCTCAGACTCACCAACACACACCCGGACAAACAGAAACCTTAATCAGTTATTCCAGGAATCAAAGGTTATAACTACCACCGAGACTCAAGTTATAAAAGCAAACAGGAAAAAAGGAACAGATAGGCCTGTAAATACTAAAACACACCACTGGCAACCATCTCACTATATACACACTAGTCACCAGGAAACAAGAGCTTCTAAAGCACCAGTGTGTCAAACACAAGCACCAGTTTCAAAGTGGTCCCCAACGCCGGTCGGCTGGAGGGCCCAGCTGAACTACAACCTAAGCTCTGTCTGGAACCCAGACCCGGCTGTGGGCTGGGCACTCACGCACTGGACTTGACCAGAGGCCTGCCCACCCCACCTCTGCTGACAGGCCGGAGGCAAGGTTTCACACACACACCTGTGGGTAACAGGGACCCACCACAGTGCTCCTCAAGGTCAACCCCACATTCAAACGACACACTCCCCTTGAATCAAGTCTACGTGGGTGCCCACACAAATTCTAGGTTATTTTTCCCATCACTGCAAAAAAGGCAAGGGACTCAAGAAACAGCAACAAAATAAATGACTTTAAAAAATATAATGTCTCTTGGAGAAAAGTGGTCAACTACCTACCTGGCATAGTTCTTGCATTTAGTAGTAACTTTTCTACAAAAGAATGAAACTCGAAAACAACGTCTTTAATAGTAGTAGCCTAACACACGATTTCACTTTTCATAAGAGCACATACCTGACGTTTCGTCAGTACAAAGAAAGCAATATTCGATACATCTTCTCCACAAGATATGCACTGAACACCTACCAGATGACGGACATCAGCCCGTTTTTAAGAGCAGGACTCCACGCTCGCACCTCCACACGCCACGGCGGAGGGACACGGGGGAGCCCAAGGCTCCGCCAGCAGGAGAGCGACAGGGAACCTCTCCCAAGCAGGTGATGAGAAGCAGGGTGGCGAGGAACACTCACCCATAACACGTTCTTAGAAATCCCTAAAAGAAGTAAAGCCTTAATACTAAAAATAAGAAAAGGACAGGACTACACAGCTTTAAGAAGTCTGTATTAGTAAGAAGTCTGTATTAGTAAGAAGTTTGTATTAAGAGTTCCAATTTCCCACAATAATCAAGACCATAATTCAGCTTTCAATCAATCTCCCGGTGATATATGTCAACGGTGATATATGTCAACGGTGATTTTAGACAGTGAATTTTCATTTGAAATTCCAAAGACTCTGGGACCGAAGTGAGGCAGGGGCTGAAAGCCGTGCAATGATAAAATACTACCTGCTTCTCCTTTGGAAGCCCTCCTTTTACACACAAACGTCAGGATGAAGGGAGAAAAGCAAACATAAAGAGGCTGGTTTTGAAACATTCTGATTTTCGTAAAAAGTAAATCTAATCCAAAAGCCAAGCCTATCATCTCCCTGAAGATCCACCACAGAATTATCAGTGCTTAGCAAGGCTGCCTGAAACCACCAATCAGAGCTGATCGACAGTGATGAAATTTGCTAACAGATACTGACCACTGAACCCAGCAAGAAGGCAAACAAAAGAAAATAAACCACAAGTACACCCTCCCACACACACACAGAGATTACCAAAATATATAAACATAAGGCTTACTTCTTATTCCTACGAATCAAGCTCCACAGATTTGTTCAACATTTGTTGAATATAATAAAGGCCATTACAGGGATAGCATTCTCATAGAAAAGTAAGAAATATAATTTGTGATGGCCAAATAGAATAAAAACTCATCAAGATGGTAGAAACTTTCAGACAAGTTTAGATAAAGCAAAGTGAAACTGTTGGGCTTGAAATACTGATTCAGGGAATCATGAGACAAGCTTACCTACATCATAATGAAAGATACAACAGGCTTGATGCAAACTTCCTTCCAAGACACGAAAAAAAGTATGCAAAGGTTCTCCAGAACATGTGACAGAAAGTGTGACCTAGATACTGAATAGCTAAAAAAAGAAAAACAACATGAACATTTAAAAGTAATTTATTTCATCACAAAAAGCCCTCTAACACAATCCTGGAGACCATCTCTGAAAACAGAAATGTTTGTGTATAAGTGGGGAGAAAAACTACTAAGTGAAATCTTCGTTTTCCAAAAAAGTGCTTCAACTTCTGCTTTGTTTCAACACACACGCACACGGCACCTCCTTGTCACTGCAGAGCAGCCGGACACAGCGGCTCCCCACAAAACAGGTCGGTCTCACTTCAACGGCCACCCTTGTCCCAAAACAGAGAAAAGGGAGAACAATGGTTGCTTAAAACAGAGCTTAACGAAATCAATGAACTATAATTTGTTATGATTTTTTAAATACCAACTCAATCTCAATTTAAAATCCTACAGAGTGAACTGAATTATCTGCTACTAAACTGAAAAAATATTCCTTTTCCCAACCAGCTTTGGGAAATCTCTCAAACAACATTATAAATGGACCCATTCAAACAGAAAGATAACACAACTACATACCATGATTAATATTTTACATCCCCACGTTTTGAACCAGAGATAAAGAAAACGACCTCATTATTCTGGAAGACAACCCGACCCTGAGGGCCACACCATCACATGTGACCGTCCATAAGACATGCCGGGATGGGCACCTCCCAGCATGTGAGGGTGCATCACCCGCATCTGACTCCCCAAGGGCTCACTCCACATACCCGGACTGCAAGGTGAACCTAATAACCCACAATGGGGTTCTGGCCTGATAAGCCCTAAGTGAAAGTACTGTAAATCAGAGATGCATTTAATGTATCTAACTGCCAAACACCGCAGCTTATTTAGCACAGCCTACTTTAAACCTGCTCAGGACACAGTAACAAAACACACACACACCAAACAACGACTCTGGCAACACAGTGCGAGGGAGAGGTGGTCAGGGAGCAGGGGTCGTGGGCTCCTGCCCTGGCCTGCCTGCCCACCCCCCCAGCATCACAGAGGGGCCGGGAAAGACCAAAATCCCAGGACCATATACCCCCACACCCCCCTCCCAGCCATAGCTCCCTCACGAAGCCCGAACCCCCTCAGTGGGAGCGCAGGAGGACGGCAGAGGAATGGAGCCCTTCCCACCCCAGGGAACACCACTCGGTGTAAACAGGTAGCCGTCCACTGCACTCAGAAATACAAACTGGGGTTTCAGGATAAGAAAAGGAATCAGGTTTCATGAGAATGTTCAAATTTGCCAAAAACGGATGATTCCCAAGTAACACTAACTTTGAATTACTTATGAAAGCAAATAAAAAATGCATGCTATTAAAACACTGGCCTGAGAGGGCACAAACCCTGCGAAAGACGTGTTTCTTGTTGGTAAACTTCATTCAACAGCTACAACTTAGGAATGAAACACAACCCTGAACGTTTTTGTTGGGAAACGATTTCACAGGGTCTGCCACCCACACACACCCATCCCTACCCATTGGCGCTCAACCCCATTCTCTAAAACACTGGTCGACTCTCAGTGGTTTTGCTACAAACAACGACCATTGTCCCGGACCCGCAGCAAGTGCGATTTCCTCCTTTCCTCAGGAGGACGCCCAGTACGCGCCACCCCGCCGCAGGGCAGCGCGGAACAGCCTCCGGCAGGCGGAGGCCCGAGCCCCCGCCCCCGGACGCCCACCCCCGCCCCCGCCCCCGGGCCGCGCCGCCCTGGGAAGCCCGACCAGCCCGCTGGGGGAGGGGCGCTCTTCCTTCAACCTGAGCTGCAGGCAACGAATGGCAGAAGCCCCTTTTTTTTTCCACTGGAGTTCAATTCCCGGCCGCGTTATCAGCAAACCCGCACAATCAGAACAAGTTTCCTGATATTTGCTTTACTCTCGCGGCTGGCAACCCCTAAGTTTCCAAACCCACTGAAGCAAAACACCGCCGGTCACATGCTCTCTCAAATGACAAAGGTCTGTGTGGCCCACAGTCAAGGCGCCGCGAGCCCCGGGCCGGGATCGCGGCGAGAGGAGATAAAATAACGCCCGACCACGCCCTCCTCTCGCAGCAGGACCCCGGGACGGCCTCCGCGCGGACTCGGCGCAGACCCGGCCCCGACCCGCGACCCCTGCCAGGGCCCGCGACCCCGACCTCCGGACCCAGGCTTCCCCAACCCAGCGGAGCCCGAGACCACGCCCCCGGCCCAAAACTCCCGCCCGCCCTCGACCCTCCCTGGGCCCGCGACCCCGACCCGGCCTGCGACCCCAGGCCCGGCCCGCGCCCCCTACTGGACCCGAGACCCAGACCCTGGCCTGCGACCCCGCACCCGGCCCAAGACCCCCACCTCCGGACACAGAGCCCGCCCCAGCCCCCGACCTCCACCGGCCCACGGCTCCCGCCCGGCGGCCATGGGCACAGGTGACCGCGCTCCACCCGCGCCGGCCCGCGCGGCCACCCGGGGGCGCGGGAAGGGGGACGCCGGGTGCAGGGACGGCCCGAGGCGAGGGTCCCGGGGGGCGGGGGTCCGGCGGAGGGGGGGGCGTCCGCGGAGGGGGAGGTGCAGGAGGGGGGAGGCCGGCGCCGGCCGCGCGCACCTCGGTGGGCTGGCTGATCTCGAACAGGTCCAGCCGGTTGGCGTTCCAGTGGTGGATTATGTCGGCCAGCTTCCGCCGCTCCTCGTCGCGACAGCCCGTCGTCATCCTCGCGGCCGCGCTCCTCGGCCCGGGCGCAGCGGGGGTCGGGGCCGGGGGCGCGGACGCGGGTGGGGCCGGGCGGCACGCGCACCCACAGGTCCACGGCCCGGCTCCCCGCGCTTGGCCGCCTTCGCGCCGCCGCCCCGCGTTCCTCGGTCTCCGCGGGCTCCTCGGGCGCCCGCGGTCCCTCGGCTTCCCGCTCCCGGCTCCGCGGGTTCCTCAGCCTCCTCAGCCGGCCCGCCCGCGTCAGCCCCGCCGGCCGGTGTGCGCCCTGAGCGCCCGCACGCGCCGCGCCGTGTCGCCCCGCCCGCCGTGCGCGCTGCCGCGCCGCGTGCCTGCGCACGCGCGCCGCCGCCGCTGCGGCCGCACCTCGGGCGGCCTCCACTAGGTGCTGCTGCGCGCGCCGCATCGCGCAGCTGCGCCGCCAGCCCGCACGACCGCGGGGATCCCGGCCGAGTGCGGCGGGTCTGGCTTCCCACGGCAGAACGCTCGGGCCGGCGGAGCTGGGTCCCAGAGGTGCTGGGTCCCAAAGGTGCTGGTTTCCAAAGGTGCTGGTTTCCGACTGGCAAGCCGACGGGGCAGACCCGGCGCACAGACCCGCGTCCGCGCGTGCGGAGTCCCGCGGCTGGCCAAGCTGACCGCCGCAGGAGGCCGTCGCTGCCCTCCCTCCCCCCGGCCCGGGAAGGGGGGGGTCTCCCTTGCTGTAGGGTGAGACGCAGCCGGCTTTCCGAGGAGGCCTTCCCCGGAGGAGGGTAAATCACTGCGTCCTGGGTGTCAGCGGATATGTTTTGAATTCCTCCCGGGTCTTTGCAGGCCTCCCGGTGGTCTCGGAGTCCCCAGCTTTGCCCGGATTCCTCCGGCGGAGGCTGCTTAGAACACACAGCTTCCCAAACCGTATCCACGAAGCTACACGGGCAGACCACGGACCGCAGAGCTAAAATAACAAATAATGGGGGCGGGGGGGGTTCTGTTTACGCCACAGGACAGTGCGGAAAGCCTGTAATTACCCCAAGGCATGGACAGATACAACATTAATCCCCATTGCAAGTTCTGTAAATTTGAGATATTTGTTTCCTCGGGTGTTTTTAATTTTTCCTCCTCCCCCCGCAAAAAAAAAAAATTAACTGCAGAGCACATTCCCACAGGCTGACCCCCATGCAGCACTCATTCAGCTAACGTGGGCTTCCCTTTCCTCACAGTATCCACGATGTGTGTCCTAGCAAAAAGCCTGCGTCTTTGAAATTCCAAAGCTGAGTGGTGAAAACAGAGAGCTCCGTGTGACAGAGCCTCTTTATTTTTGCCATCACTTTGTCTGTTCCAGCGTGGAGATGATTTCTCTCTCCAGCAGTTGGGATTCTCTGGTCCTGCTGGGCTTTGTCCCCAGCCTGCTTTTCTGCTGCGCAGCACAGAGCGGCCACATAAGGAGGCTTTTCAGCACGAAGCCTGAGGTGTTGAACCAGTGCCATACGGGATGAATTCTTCAACAGACCTCCAGTCTTCTTTCCCAAAACCAAAGTGCGGCGACTTGCAGGCAAGCGTATGTGTGTAAACGGCATCTTCGTGCGCTGGCGCCCTGTTCCTTTAGGCCTCTAAGTTCCTGTGCTTCTTTGTAGATTCCGATTGTTTTTGTTGTTTTGTCTTGTCTTGTCTTTGTAGTGAGCACCCTGGTGTGCATACGGCTGGCACTCTCTCTAAGCTGGGTTCCCCACACGCCATGCGGGTCATCAGACCCGGTTTCAGCTGAATGTAACAGTAAGGGCTTTATTCTGGGCGAGGCTGTTACCAGGAATGGCTTGGCTCTTCGAGGAAGGAATTACTTGGTGGAGCTGGCAATGACATTGCTGGTGTCCACGGTGAGGCCATGTGGTATTGCTAAAGAGAAAATTCAGAATTGCCAGAAAGTTAAGCGCGGTATCACAGCAGGCTCTTTCTAATGAAAGATATGCAGCATGCGTGAGGTGCACCACACAGTCAAGGCTGTAAATCAGTGCTAATTAGTATTGTTTTTCTTACTCTCATTAACCCCACCTCCCCCACCCTGGCCCGGACTGGGATGGCTCAGTTCGTTGGGCATCAGTCTGCTGAGTGAAAGGTTTCAGGTTCGACTCCCCATGTCGGGCACATGCCTAGGCTGCAGGTTTAGTCCCAGGTCAGGGCGCATATAAGAAGCAGCCAGTCAATGTTTCTCTCTCACACTGATGTTTCTCTCCCTCTCCTTCTCCCTCCCTTCCCCTTTCTCTCTAAAAATAAATAAGCGACATACTTTTTAAAAACCCACGCATATTATGTGCAAGTGGTATGTTAAAATCCAAACTATATAATTCATAGTCCCAACTTACTGGTTTATTGATAAATGTTCAAAAGCAGCCTGAAACCCACAAAATGCCCAAGATTTTTAAGTCACGAAGACTCGTACAACCAGCACACATCCAGGCCACGAAAATTTTCAGGCTTACGCATTCTTCCACTAATCGCTTTTGTTCGAAAGGCCAAGACAATATGCCAAGCCATGTGCTAATTTTGATTCCACATTTTAAGAATAGTAAGTAGACAGAATGTCTATAGAATGTCCATCTTCTGTTCTCTCTGTACTGCTTGGTCCTGATGCATTTAGGGAATCGGAGTTCAGTGCTCAAGAATGCTGTGCGACAGAATCAGCCCCGCCTCACAGTCAGACAGGCTGAATGTGAGGTGGAGACACTGCGGACTGCATTGGGTGAGGTCGAAAAAGATGATTTTTTTAAATATATGAGTCTTTAAAATTTTATTTCCTACTTTACATTAAACTTTTTGTTTTATTTTTGAAAATACTTCTAGTTACGCTATTTTTTAAAAGTAAGAGTTCCAGTCAGCACTGATCTACAAATATTTCTAAATGTCTCTAAAACTTAAATCTATTTAAAACCTTAAACTATCACTATATGTAATGGGAATACATGAAAATCATATATATACACACATATATATGACTGCAACAGTGGAAAATTTTGGTTAACCCTTGCACACTAAAAAGGTGTTTAGATATATTTTGAAAGCCAGGCTCTAAGACCCCCCCAGTCCTGATAACCCTCTGCGGGCCCCAGGTGCCCAGGACTCCGGAAACAGGGTGCCCAGGGCCAGCCTCGGAGAGGTGCTCCATCTCAGAGGGACAAGCGATGCGGCTCTGTCAACTGTATTTGATGACCGGTAGACCCTTTTGTTTTCTAACCACCAGTAATTCACAGCTTTTAGTAAATGAATCAAATATGAAGTAGTTTAAGCCGATAATTATACACGTCATCTTACAAGCCCTTTTACTGGACATAGCCATTCAAAGGAGGGTCTGTAAACCAAAATGAAAGGTTGTGACAAAGGTGCGCAGGTGGCGGGACCCCTGGCGTGGACCACCTTCCCCAGCAGCCTGCGCCTTTGGAAGTTACCCTCATTCAGCTGGAAAGTTAACCAACTAACCTCCTCCTTGGCCCAACCCGGGGCTGGAAACATCAATGTAGTTCAAGTGGTTTGTTGACAAGAGGGAATTCCAGAGGATTAAAGCTCCAAAAGTAGGTAAGGTAAGTGCCACTCTCCTTGAAGCATGGAGAAAGGTATCTTTAAACTCTTCTTCCTTGTAGTTCCCTGCCCGTGACATTCAGTTAGATTTTAGGTCACCTGATAGGATTTTCAGGAGACAGCCTTTCCCCGAGAAAGCAGGTTTCAAAAGCCCCTCGATGGGAATTTAAACTCACACACTTAAAAAAATTTAACCTTGCTAACTCAGAAAGAAACCTGTGGCTAAATGTGTCCCCTGGCATTTTGTAACCTACACGAATGCTACAAAAGAAAAAAGCCAAATCTCCCATAGACGTTTACACCGAAAGCAAAGAAAATAAGGCCGCGAGTGCACACAGGGCGGAGAGTCACACTGTGCGCTCAAGAGTCATGCACCTTTCAGCGGCGGGGGAATTGCGCTATGTGACTATGTTTTCACCGAAGGCTCCTTGGTGGCCAGGACCCACCTGGCTTCCGATTCCTCTCCCACCCCCAGTGCAGAGCACAGCGTGGCGCTTTGCCCCTGAGTGGCCAAGTCACTGACTGGGTTGAAGGTCGCAGCTATGGGCAGCGTCAGGTCACTGGGCTCCCAGGGGCCCCCTGAGGAGAGATCCCTAAAAGGGTAGAGGTGCCGCCCTCTGCACGGTGGTGGACCTCTGGCTCCATGCCGCCTTCCGGCTTTTCCCTCGAGGATGCGCGGGCTCATCCCAGACCCAGGTGGGAGGTGGAGAGGGGGTCGTCCCCTCCCTGCTGCTGTAGGGCCTCCATCTGCTAAGGGGCTTCAGGGCGCCTCTGCCAGCTGGCTGTCCCTGGCATGACGCGAGCAAAAGCAACGCAGGGAACGATTGGAAAACCAGGTCCTGAGACGCGCTGTGTGGAACGGACCTGACTCTGCCCCATTCACAGGCTCTGGGAAACACGGTCTTGGGAAGAAGGTTAGGGACAGCACAGACCCAAGGGCATGAAGAGCAGGCGTATCAACTGTGCCCTCACGTCTCACATCCCTTTTCTGTTAGGAAATGTGTATTATATAGGTATATAAATATGCCTTATAATATAGATGATTTATAAATATTACATAATGCATGTAACTTATTTACAGAAATACATTATATAATTATATAACGTACAACATGGTGATATATAGGATATATACAATTTTGCTGGAAAGTTGATCACTGTTAACTCAAATGTTCGTTAATGTTACTTAAACAAATAAAAACACCCGATGAAGGGAACGCGTGCTATTCAATGCTTCTTCACCGGCAGTGAAACAAGGGAAACCAAGAAATGTCAGCGTCAAGTGCGTTGCCCACGGGAAGCCCAGGGTGAGACGCCCCAGAACCTCCCCCACACCGAATCTCGTCTTCATCTGCTAGCGTCTCCGGAAATCGGAAGTGCCAGGTTACAGATGTTTGCTTTAGAGAAAGTGTGCAACTTAAGCGATTTAAAAAGTACTGTTGAGTCCTGGCCAGTGTGGCTCAGTTGGTTGGGGCGTCACCTATAAACCAAAAGGTCAAGAGTTCAATTCCTGGTCAGGGCACATGCAGGTTTGGTCCCAGGTCAGGACACATACAGGAGGCAACTGATGGACGTTTCCGTCTCTCCCTCCCTTTCCCCTCTAAAATCAACAAGCACGTCCTCAGATGGGGAGGAAAGAAGGAAGGAAAGTGCCACCGACATTGACATTTGCAATAATCCCGAGAAGTGGCAAGGGTGGCCTAAGGCTGCTGCTGAGATGGTGACAGCAGAGTGGCTGCGAAGC